CCAGTCACCCACCTCCACGGGCCGTTCCTATGGGGGGGGGGGGCCACACACACACACACACGTCAGAGACCGAGCAGGCTGGAGGGAAGCTGGGGGCCCTCCAGGCACAAGAGAAACTAGGTGAGGGGAAAGTCAGCCTCTTCGAAAAGAGGAAATCCCAACACCCCTGCCCAACTGGGGAGGCCCAAGGACACATTTGGGGTAGACACAGGACAAGCTAAGGCTCCACTAGAAGAAGGAAGCTGTGTCGGCTGGGAGTTCTGGATGATCGCAGCAGGATGCCGGGGTCAGTTCCCACCCCAGTGAACCACAGCCCAGCCTTGCCTCCAGACCCACGCCAACCTCCTGGTCTGGTGCTCAAGGCCACCTCTTCTAAGAAGCCTACCTCCTCCCTAAACTGGCTCATTTTCCATTTTACCAGCATACTACCTGCCATCTCTTCTCTTTATGAAGTTCTTTGGGCCAGAGACCATGTCTTCCATTCATGTTCCTTCTAGAGCCCATCCATTCGGAGCACATATATTGAGTTCAATCAGCTTTGAATGATTGAATGAGTGATTGAACTCAGTTCTCTAATGTCTGTGCTCGTGTGTCCTATGACCACAATGACCTGCTGTCTTTTTTTCCCCAGTAGTGACAGAAGGCACTATCTCCCTGGTCACCCCAACTCTACATTCTCTTCACACTGGGTGCAGTTTCTACTTTATTGCTTGGTCTGGCTTCCTCTAGGTCCCGGTTTCCTTCGCAGATTGAGAGCAGCCTGAGGGAAGGGAGCAAGTCTTTCTCCCAAAACAGAAACACAAGACTTCATCACTGGTCTCCCAGAGGGTTCTAGAATGTTCTAGCAGTCTGTCTGGCCTCCAACAGGAGCTCCTGCCTGAGGCTATGTGACGGAGTGACAGGTGATAGGACAGGGGGTGAAAGGTTCTGAGAAGAGGGGTCCTCACCTTCTCTGTGTCTTCCTTCTTCACTGACTTCAGGTTGGCCCGCAGATCCATAGACACCTTGTGCTTGGAGCCCAGGAGAGCCCGGAGCATGGCGTCAGCTGAGACCCGGACCCGACGCAGTGGTGGGCGCTTGAACTTCCCACGGAGGTCCAGCACCTTCAGCTTCAGGTCCTTAATCTGCAGGTGAGAAGGAGCAGGGCTTCACGGGAGAGGGAGCACCCCCAGAGCACCCTTCCTGAGGATCTCAGACTTCTAGGGTTCCAGCCAGAGCTACACCCCACATTCTCCAGCTTCCAGGCCAGACCCTCTGGGACACTCAGACCCCCCCCCATCACTTTCAGAATAGCCACAACGTGCTTGTTGATAAACAAATGAATGAGTAAATGGACAGATAAAGCCCATTAGCCATCTCTGTCATGGTTACGTGAATAGATGCGGCAGCCCCACCAAACTCAGCACAAGTCTGGTTTGAAAGCCCTCTTTGGAGTGTGGGGCTGCTTCCTCCTATTCCTGGGGCCCCATTCCTGCTTCTAACTAGTCCCTCCCGGTGAGCCTTCAAAGCAGTTCATTGAGAGCACAGCCTAAGTCCAGTGGGGTGGATAAAGTTTCTAGGGTGCTATCTCTGGAGGGAATTCTGGGGAGATTTGTGATGCCACAAATCATCATTCCTGCTGGGGAGAAATGGGAAGGAACAGAGTGGTCTCTGATCCCGCGCCCTCCCCTCCTCCCTGCTTGAACAAGCACCCAGGAGCAGCCCACGAGATCAGCAGGGGTTCTGCCCTCCGTGTTCTGCCCCACCACATGGGAGCAGGGTCAGCACGGAGCTCCCGCTCCCACACCCCTCGCCAAGGGAGCGCTGAGCACCGCAGTGGGGGGCAGCGACCAGCCCTGCTCCCATAACCACCACTGTGTGACCTGGACCAAATTTCTCAGCCTCTCTGAACCTCAGCGTCCTCCTTTGTAAGGTGCAGATAATAGCACCTCCTTTATCCACACGCGTGTAGGGAGGATCAAAGGATGCAATGCACGTGAAAGCCATTCACAAAGGGAAGATATTATTAACTAGCATGTGACTGTTTGTGTGGGTGAACAAAGAGGTGAAGAGCCCCTGTGGCAGGTTGGGAGGAAGTTTGTGCTTTTCATCTGTGTGATTATCCTCTCTCTGCCCATCTCCAGCCCTATGGGGCTGGAGTGGAGGGACCAGAGCTCCCCAAGTGGCCACTTGCCAAACCCTGCAGAAGGAGGGGGACCTAGTCCGCAGCTGCAGCACCAGTGCCCACGTCCCGCCACCACCCCCTGCCGCATCGCCCCACCATGCACCCAGCCTCTGCTAGCCGTGCCCTCCCCTCCTGCAAGCTCACCTCCCTGGTGTTGTGGAGGCATTTGGCCTCAATGTCGTATCTCTCCTCATCCACCACCTCCACCTTGGCGTGCAGGTCCCGGCACAGGTCCTGGGGGAAGCAAGGTTAATCAGGCAGGAACAGAAAAGAGGGGAGAGGAGTCATCTGGACCGCACCCTCCCTTTCCCGCCTCCTTGCCCAGTGCCTTTGCAAAACCTGCATTCTGGAAAGGGGCTGATATGCCCCTTCTCTCTGAGGTTCGTGGGCTGCTGATAGCTCCCTGCATAAGCCCTTTGTTTTCCTTTCGGAACGTCATTGTTTTCTTTAAAAAGTTTTCTTACAATAAAAATAATATAAGCGAATTGTAGAAAATGTGAAAGCTAGGTATTAAACAAAAAGAATAAACTACAATTAACAAGTGACGCCACCAGTGGGAGGTGACCCCTGGTGACATTTTGGTGTATTTCTTTCCAGTCTCTTTTCTCTGCAGTCGCTGGCATTTAAACAGTTATCAGGGGGCGCCCGGGTGGTTCAGTCGTTTAGCGTCTGCCTTCGGGTCAGGTCATGATCCCGGGGTCCTGGGATCGAGCCCCACAATCCGGCTCCCTGCTCCGCGGGAAGCCTGCTTCTCCCTCTCCCACTCCCCCTGCTTGTGTTCCCTCTCTCGCTGTGTCTCTCCTGTCAAATAAATAAATAAAATCTTTTTTAAAAAAATAAATAAAATAAACAGTTATCAGTGTTTTTCAAACATTAAAAACCTATTTGTAGGGGAAGGACAGACAGGTCCTGAGGCTCCCTCCCTGCACTTGTGAAATGGAATCTACCAGCACCACCTCCCAGGGGCCTATGCGGTGACATGGGACCGTGTGAGGGAAGAGCCCCTTGTAAAGGAATGGAGCCCGGAGCTCCGCTGTTAGTGCAGGCTCCTGCCACCCAGCCTCTGGGGTCAGCCCCGCAGACTCACCTGCAGGGCACTGAGGGACAGGCCTCGGGTCTGCAGCGTGGGGATGCGCTCGGTCAAGTAGCGTGCCTTCTCTGCCTCCCGTTCCTCATGCTCCTGCTCCCAGCACTCCTTGGCCTTGGCCAGCATCAGGCTCTGGACAGGACAGAGCCTGCTGAGCCAGGGGCCCAGGGCTCTCGTATTCCCCCCCCTCCCAGCATCAGGGCATGAGGGGAGGAGGACCCCAGGCTGGAACCGGCTCTTGCCTCTGGCTCTACAAGCAACGCGCCCTCTCGTACTGGCCAGCGCCCCCACCAGGCAGCCCTGGGAGCGTGTGGATGAGCCGGTCCCGAGGCCTGCAGATGTGTGTGCTGCCTACAGCCAGGGCCAGGGAAGAACACACACTGAGCCACCACACACAGCATCTCTCGGACCCTGGAGCTGTTTTCCCTCACAGTCTTCCTTGTACCCACTTCTGGCGTGTTTTGGCCCACAGAGCTCCAAAGAGAGAAACTGGCCAGAATAAAGCAAGGCCCTCTTGGCTGCCACCAGTGGTTTACCACCCTGAAGCTGGTCACTGCCTCCCCTCAAGAACCCGGGCAGGAGCCAGGTCTCCCTAGTTTCAGGTTTCCACTCACTGACCACCTGGCTCCAGGCAATTGCCGGCCTCCCTCATCATCATCCTCACTTTGTCTTGTCCTCATCATCCTCACTTTGGCCTCCTTCATCTTCACCCTCCCCCGACCCTCCACACCCCTGCAGAGTCTGCACCACATCCCCTCTGTCTCCCACTGGATGTCCCCCCAGAGCCAGCACAAAGCTTCACCTTCAGCAAGAGTTTGCGGGAGGCCGTGATCTTGGGCTTTCTCTGAGGGTAAGAAGGGGAGAGACAGGTGGTGAGATAGAGATGGCAAAACTGGAAATCTGGTCTAGGCCAGCGTGCGTGCCCGCCAGGCTCACCGTGATTACCCAGACTCCTCGCCATAGGCTCCCTTAAAAGGCCCCTCATCTTTGTGATTTAACCCCTCAAATTCAAGGAATGCTGTAGTCAGCAACCTTGACCCTGACCTAGAGGCTGAAGCCCTCACTTTCAATCCTGGTTCTAGTGCTGGTGGGATCCTGTGTGGGTCATGTGACCTCTGTGGGCACCTCCTTCCTCATCGATAAATAAGGATGCTGAGACCCACCTTCCTCAGTTCACAGAATTATTACAGACAGAATGACATCGTGGACGTGCAAATCCTTTGAAAAGCATGAAACAGATGTACCTGCTTAGCACTCTGGGTAGTAAGGTACCAATACCTTGATGATCTGTTGTGTCCAGAAACAAGCTGTGAATTTCATACATCAAGAAGTGTATCTTTTTAGACATCACAACTTTTTTTAATGTCAACACCATCCATATTAATCTTTCTCAGGTATAAAAACATTGTTTTCTCTTCTTATTAAAAAGACTTGATATATTCTTGCCAACTAGGTATGTTCTAACAAGCCTTAGCTTGCGGCAGCATCCCCCCCACTCCAGGGGAGGTGACAGTAAAAACGGCTGTTCAACCTCTAACTAATGAGGCTGTGAGGCCTTCTGAGCACTTGTATCTCTTCTTGACCATAGGTTGTCGATTCTGGTTGCTGCCAGAGAGCAGCTATCTACTGGTACTGTGCTGTGTGCTGGGAGAGCAGAAGTGAGCAGGCTTTAAGGGAGAAAATGGGCTTCGTATTTTATGGATGGAATGTGTGACTTCTAATCTGACTGTTCAGAATGGTTTGTCTGTCCTTTCCTCTCCTAAAGCGAGGGCTGGGCTACATTTCAGGTTAGCGTGCCTGTGGGAGAAATGGCCTGTTGCGATGGTCATTACCACTCACGGTTTACACCCTATCGTGTACCCATGGCAAATGTTTCTTTGCAATGTTGTTTCCCCACCACCTGGTGAGCTTCTAGGCCATCTCGTCTGACCATCGATCAGTGGCAACTCACCTTAATATGAGCCTCAGCAAAACTGAGAAATTCATATAGCTATTGAAAAATGGTGTATGTGATTCTGAGAATCTCCGCGCCAAACGTCCCCTCCATCAGTGCTGTTAATTCCCACCCTTGTCAGTTCAGAGCCCAATCCCTGCAGTTTCTAACCCTGCACTGGATACAGGCTGTGTTCTCAGTACTGTTTCAGGGTCAGAGTTATCTAAAACCTGAGGGAAGTGTAAGGACACCTCTTTGCTCCTCTCTCAATGTTTGGTCATTGGGAAGGGGTAGAATAAACCAATGATGATCCCTTGTTACTGGACTGACTCGGCAAAAAAACAGGACGGTCCCTCAGGGCTAGACAAGTGAGCAAGAATGGGTGAAATACCCCACATCCCACTTACCTCGCTTCAGGCATCCACCACAGGAAAGACAAGAGGAGAGAGCAAAAGACAAAGTGTGAACAATTCATATGACGTATGCAACAGCAGGACCATGTGGATGAGCCCAGGCAGGGGCGGTGTGGTGACAACCACACACCAGAAGGACATCAGGCATCAGGCAGGGGGACCAGCTCAAGGGTTCCAGCAGAACAGAATAAAACTCCAGTGGCCCTCTGGGCTACTGGAGGTTCTTGTGGGGAGATGCTAGCCATTGTAAGTTGGGGAGGAGTGCTGGAGATTCCAGGAAACCTCAACATAGGGTTCTAGCATGGGAAAGCTCCCGTCCTGGCCTTGTGGGCAAGTTCCCAAAGCTTTGTTCATCTGTTGGGCCAAAGTAGAACCATGGCCCGGCACACGCAATTCATCTGGCCTGCGCAGAGAAAAACTCTGTAAGAGGCCACAAAGGTCTTCCCCAGGCAGCCTGGAGCATGGGTTCTGCTCAAAGACTAGAAGGAGACGTGGTGGCACAGGGGACCTAGGTACTCAGGATTTTTCCTTCTGTTAAAACCTGTTCTCCTGGGAAGTTGCTTCAGGGCTTGGACAGATGGTGCCTCCCCTACGGGGCTGAAATATGCAGCAAAGGGCCTGGCTTCCTCCAAGCCCGAGATAGGGATGGGGCTACTCACACTTCAGGCATGGTGGTGGTCGGGGGGCAGCACCTGGAGGTACAAAGCAAGCATCAATGTGGAAAAGCTGTAACTCCTGCCTCCCAACCCTGCTGGGCCCTGGGACTGTGTCAGCTGCCCAGCCTGGGAGAGCCGGACAACAGGAAGAAGAAATCAGACAGAATGGATTCCAACAGGTCGGGAAGGGATAAATATTTGTGCATTGATACTCTCTTTTTTTCATTTATTCACTCATTCATTCATTCACTCATTCACTCACAAGAGAGAGAAATCTTAGAAAAGCAAAGAAACAATGTAAGAATTGTAAGTGGCTCTATTGGACAGGTATGTAGGGTGGGGATCTGCAAACTACAGGCCCCAGGCCAAATCTGCCCCCGCCCCCCCCCACCTTTTGTTGCTTAAAGCATTGTAAGATAAGGAATATGCAACAGAACGTTATGTGACCTGCAAAGCCTAAAACATTTACTATCAAGCCCTTTCCAGCAAAGTTTGCCAGCCCTCATGGGGAACAGAATGGAATCCATAGAAATCTATTTGAAAAAAGTGAGGTCATGGGGCCCTCCACAACATGCTGAGTTTAGAGTCTCTCCTGTGGACAAGGGTGAAGTTCTCAGAGAGAGGAAAATCTGAAAGCGGAGTGGCACAGAGCAAAGATGAAACGCAGGTAACTGCCATATGGCACAACTCCAGGGGGCGCTATTCCCATGCGAGGCCATGTCCTTGTGCCAGGGGTGCCGTTCACACAGACGGCAGTGTGAGGGGCAGCCCTGGGGTGGAGCAGGGAGGAGGCCCGGCACGGAGGGGCTTAGGCCAGCAGGTAAGGCAAAGCCTGCCTTCTACTCTCATCTTCATCCTGACCCTTTCCGGGCCAGTTTTCTTCTCTGCAAAAATCGAGGTGAGAGAAATTGTCGTCCACTTAAAAAAGCTCTTAAACCCTTTGTTCAAACCAAATTTTACTTGGAAGCAAAACAAATCCAAGCAATCCGAGCAAACGGCACAGGCTGAAGGGGGTACGTAGAAGCCCGTGGCCCTCTGTGAGGACCCCCGGCTGTGGAGCACAGTTTGAAGTCCCCCTACTGGGTTGTCCTGGGGTTCCCTCTAAGTCCCGACAGTTGGGGGACCCAGGCCAAGAAGGGGGTCCTTGAGGCGGCACAGGGGGACACTCCAAAGCCAGACCCAACTCACCATCTTGCCTGGGCCTGGACAAAGAGCCTTCTAAGAGAGGGTGGGGATTTGTGCAAAAGCCCCGGGGAAGGACAACTCTGGTGGCAGCAAGCGTACGAGGCAGGACGGGAATCCGGAGCTGGGTTGTGGGTATGTCAGTGCGAGTGGGGGGCATGGAGCACAGGGTCAGGAGCTTGAATTTGGCCCAGGAACCCGGTTTGGTACAGGGGAGGGCAAAATCTAAAGGACGATTGTAAAGTGGCTACCAGCCATTTCATTCCAGAGCCACCTCCTGCCTCTGCCTTAATTCTCTCCTTTCCCTGTGTGCCCGTGAAGCCTCCTCCCCCAGCCCACGAGTGGGGCTCGGCCACCTGTCCTGAATCTCCCCCCACTGTCGGAAAGCCCTCTGGGCTTCCCACCTCTGCCTCTGCCACCTAGGGGGAGGGTGAGGCCTGGGGCAGAGGAGGGGGAAAGGGAGTGTGACCCCAGAGTCTCAGCTGTCACCCTGGGGCGCAGTAGGAGAGGTAGGATCCAATCCATAAATTCCCCAGATATTTGGCTGAAATTAGATTTTATCACCAGCTGTTTATTCTGAGGGCTCCACTCCTCGGAAGACTAGCAAGGCAATCCAAAGAGAAACACTAGCTGGTGAAGAAACACCTCCAGGTCCGTCTGTCTGTCATCGCTGCCTGGCCATAACACCAGTCCCCAGGGGGCAGCAGGTCTCAGCTGAGTGGGGATGTGCCTCACCCTTGGCGGGCATTTGGCCATGGTCACGCCTCCCTCAGAGAGCCCACTGTCACCAGCATGGGGCCCTACTGGCCCAGGCCAGGCTCAGCCTCATGCCAAGCTACAGGGCCTGCCCCCCAGCTTGCCCCCCTGACAAATGCCAGGCCCAGGGGTCCCCAGCCTGTGCTCTGATACCCACCAGATGGGACCCCTTGACAGGTCCTGTGGAAGACAAGCCGAAACCTGATAAGAAGTCAGGATGCAGATAGCAGCAAATGTGAGGTTGGAGGGCCGGCATTCCATCTCCCCACAAGTAGCAAGTGAGGAGATAATTAGAAAATCCACCCCTGGAGGGAGGGAGTGAAGGATGGCCAGGGGTTGACTCAGAGCTAGGCTTTCTTTTCCCTGAGGCCCCGCAGGGTGGACCAGGAATATCAACTAGACTAGGAGACTGAGGCTGAGCGTATGAGCGTCTGTGTGTAATTGAGTGTGTGTGTGTGTGTGTGTGTGTGTGTGTGTCTGTCTGCCTGCCTGTCTGTCTATAGGGACGGGAACTGATCTTTTTGCACACCTGATAATCAGGGACACAAATTTCTGGTTAGGCTCATGTTCTTCCCTCTGCTCCCCACTCCCTGACCTTGGACCCCCAGTTCAAGGGCATCCCAGTCCTCTCTGACTGATCATTAGAAAGCATTGTACTCCTACACCCCCCACACCCCCATCTTGAGCTCTTAGCAGGAAAGCCTAACCTCAGAACCACTGTGGGACAATCTCCCAAACCCAGTGTCTGGTGCTGCCTTTAGCCCCCACCCCACCCCCAGCCACGGCTCCCAATATAGAAGGTCCCCTCTGTTTTGCATTCAGAGACTCTCGTGCCCCAACACCAAATGATGTCACCATCAGCCTTCCCTCTAGGGGCCCCCCACCGACTACTTTCTACTCCTCAGAGCCAGGAGCAGGGGACAGCAGGGTTGGCAGGCTGCCCTCACCCGCTCTCGCCCTGCTACACAGATGGGCGTGCAAGGGGAGCCAAGCACGTCCCTCAGAGACCAAGAACAAAGAGGCAAGATGGTTTCCTCAGTCCGCAGGGGCTGGGGTCTGGTCTACTAGGCTCCCCCCAAGTCCCACACACCAGAGCACCTTCTTTGTCCTCTGCCGCAGCCATCGCCCACTTTAATTGCTCGCCAGGCTCTTCCTAAACTTCCAAATGTAGCTTCCCCGCCCCCGCTCTCTGATTCCCAATGCCCCCCCCCCCCCCCCGCTTCCTCTAGGCGCCCTCTCCCTCCAGGACCTGCTCGGTAGCCTGGTGTATAACACAATCCACCAGGCTCTACCCCAGGGTCCCTTGAGCAGCCCGATGGGAAATTCTGCTCCTGGTTCTTAGCCTGAAAATGGGCAGTGGGGATTTTACCTCCAATAACAGTTTTGCAGGAGAGAGGTCATTCCACAGGATAAAACACTGTGGGAGTATCTTAGGACTGTTCCCTCAGCCAACCCAAATGCACAGGCCATGGATGATACAGGTTTTCTTCCATCTCCACGCCCTGGTGGTCTCCTCTAACTCAAGCCCCAGTTTCTCTCTCAGGACTCGACCTAGATCCAAAGTTCTGGGCTGCAGACACTTACCTCGTTCAGGCTCTGTGAGCTGGGCTGGCCTGTGTCTCGCTGTGGACCGCAGACTGTGAGGGGCAGGCAAAGGGGAGGCTATGAAAACTATGGGCCACAGCAACTGGCCAGTAAAAATAGAACAGACCCGCTGCCTCTCCTCCCACCCCCTCCCACCACCCCCCCCACACACACAAGAGCAGACACACGCTGCGGAACACATGGCAGGCACGCCCTAAAGACACGTGTGTCCAGGCTCAGGGGGACACACAGATCCTGTGCACACAGAGGCCACCGACTGAGTCAAACCAGCACCTACCTAGGGGGTCGCAAGCCAAAGAAGGGAGAGAATGAGCAGCCAGACCAGATGAGGCACTGAGCAGCGATGGGCCCAGGGCAGAGCCCGGGGCTCTGGTGGGGGGCACCGGGAGGCCTGGGGGGCCCAGCAGGGGCTGGAGGCAGGGGAACTGTCTCTCGGACCTATATCTCTCACAAGGAAATGTGGAAATCAGACCCCTGAGCCCATGTTCCAAAAGCCTAAGCGGGCTAGAGACTGGATTTGGGGGCTCTCGTGTGGCTCTGGTACACATGCCCTAGGAGGATACCTGGGCTTGGGGGTGACATCAACAGCGCTGCAGACCAACTCCAGGGAGTGTTCCTGGGGCTGAGCTGAGGTGGTGGTAGCTGTAGCATCCACCTTTATGCTCAGGGAAGTCTGAGGGTCTGTAGACACTCTGTACCCCCCTCCAAGTAGGTTTCCGGGAATCTAGGTTTCCCGGGTTCCAAATGGCACCCCACATCCCATGCCTGGAACTCAGTGAGACTAACTCACCTTCTCCCCTGCCCTACCCTCTGTCTCCAGCCAGAATCCAGGGGGCTGGTGCCGTGAAGCCTGCACCTGTTTACGGGGTATTTTTAGGACAGTTGATGAACACATAATACCCACCCTATAGTCAGAGAAAGACAATGCCTGCTATGTTAATCCTGTGGCTATTATCGTTGGTCATCTCCTGGGCCAGGATCCCAGGCTGAGGCGGGACAAGCAGGATACTGAGCCCCCATGGAGGCCTGCCAGAGGCCTCACAAGCAGCAGGAGGTTAGGGAGCTCTACCACGCTGCCTGTTTGGTGGGGGCGAGAGCTGGTAGACAGGGGTGTCCTAAGGAGACACACTCACAGTGCCTACAGAGGGGTCAAAGACCCTGCCCGCTGGACACTGCCATTCTGGTGCCCAACAGAGGCTGCTCTAATTCGGTTCTGCTCAGGTCAGTTTGGGAACGCCCCCATGCTGGAAGGCTGCCAGGGAGAAGGGACGGGGCCGGGGAAGTTGTAGGGCTTGGAGGCATAGGATTCTGGGGGGAAGGGCTGGGATGGACAGTAAGGACAGGCATCCGCCCAGGAGCAGCAGGAGGTCGGAGAAAGTGTGTGAGGCCTGGGATGAGTCCACTGGAGTTTACTGCACCGGCTTACCATGTTTGTAATTTACACAAGAACTTTCTTACAAGAAGTTAAGAT